ATATTGGCTGCGAAAATCCTGCAGTGATGAGAGATGGAGCCAGCTCAGCAGCTGACCAATTTCTGATCTCCCAGGCAGCTGTCTCTCATGCGGAGTTCTGTGTGGCTCAGATATGAAGACGTTATAGCATGGACAGTTCTGGGAACTTTCTCCTTCCAGCACATAGTGCAGAGAAACAGATTCCAACATCATTTATTGTCCAAGTTCCAGAAGCAACAAAGGGGACTCCTGATCGAATTGGTTTTAATTATTTGGTTTAACTCTGGAAGACAACTTTTCTCCCTATACAATGTTAAGAAAAGAAGAAAAAAAAAATTGAACCCCTCACCCACACCAAACCTACTGTGTAAAAATCATATCAAGGAGCAGAAGAAATTGTGCATTTAAAAAATACTCTTTGTCTTTTGGCACACTGTTTTCTTGCATTTTTTTTTGCATTTTTTTTAATTCTCCCTGTGCAACTGTCCAATTTTGGAATAAGAACGAAAAGGGGCGGGGGCTTGGAGTGGCGGGTCGAAGCAGTCAGTGACCAAAAATTTTTAGGAGCCCATATCATTTCTATTTCTCAATCTCTTCCCTTTTTTCTCTCCCTCTTTCCTCTTCTCTCTCTCTCTCTCTCTCTCTCTCTCTCTCTCTCTCTCTCTCTCTCTCTCTCTCTCTCTCTCTCTCTCTCTCTCTCTCTCCCCCTCCCTCCCCCCCTCTCGCTCTCTCTCGCTCTCCCATCTCCTTCCTCCCTTTCTTTCCTGATGAGATTCAATCTCCACATCACACTGAGCGCCCTCCCCCACCTCTACCCCCGCCCCCGCTCAAGCATTGGATAACCCAGAGTTGGGAGCCCGCAGCAGCAGCAAGGAAGCCTATGCTCTCTCCATCTAAGCTGAGATGCTGGCCTCTGGGTCCTCAATTCCTAGATGGCAGTTCGCCCTTTCCATCTCCTGAATCAAGGCAGCTTCGCCTGCAGTATGTCTGGCCTGTTTTTGTCTTTCTACATTTATTTTAACTCGGCCCGGGCTCAATCAAATCCTGGCAACAAAGCCCGAAGCTCAAAGCCACCGAGGTGGACTGGCGGCCAGCTCCCGGCCCCTCCTCCCACCGCCCAAACTCGCCTTTGAAAAGACAAGCGTCGGGCCAGAAAATTAATGTGTCGGTGGAAAGGAGGATAAAAGGCTGAGACGCGAGTGTCCACTAGTGCTGTGGGCTTTACAGATTTCTTCTATATACCTTTTAAACATCAAGGCCTAAAAACTAAGAAACCACTCCGGACTCCCGTGCGGGAGACGACCCTAGTGGGAGCATGGCTCCCGCCCTGCTCCCTCCCCCATCTGGCTGAGTCGGAGAGAGCGGGTGCTTGGCGCGGTTTGTCTGACACTTGTAAATGCAAGTGGGATCCAACTTGGAAGCAAACGCGCCGGAGTCTGGGGGCGGGGAGGAGGGGAAAGCAGAGAAAGACTTCCATCCGTCTCCTGGTCCAGTGTTCCTCCCTCGCGCCGCTGCGTAGCGGGTTCAGGAATACCCCAAGGAAGATCCAGGTCCCGAGCGCACGCGGCGGCGAAGTGGGGCTCCCCCAGGGAGGCTCGGGACACTGGCTGACCTCGCTCCCGGATGCCGGGGCTTCTCGCTTCTGGGAGACTCCCAGCCTCCACGGCGACCTCACTGTCTGCAGCCTATCCCTACCTTCACGTCCATTTGCGGACAACCCCATGGCCGGGCTTGCTCGTTATTGTATCTGAAAGTGGGTGACACCGCCAGCACGCACACCCAGGAGCGCCCCCTTTCCTCTGGTAGCAGGAGCCAGGAGATGAGCCTTAGTGCGCCCGGGAACACCCGGCACTCTGCATCCTATCCGCTCTCCAAGTGCACCAAAGCATGCAAGAGCAGGGCAGAGAAAAGCAACACGAGTTGCTTTCCGCAAAGTCTAATCAGTGCTTAAACATTTCCGAAAACACACGCGACAAAAGTCGGCTAGGGAGAGAAACGGTGAATTAGTATACTGCTAAAAATACCCGGGCTAGCCACCTCTCGTCAGCCTGGCCCGATGCATTTTAGCTCAGCGACCCCAACTGGCCGCGTCCTCTTGCTCTCTGAGCGCCAAGCGAAATCCTTCCAGGCCCTCTCTGCCACCTCCAGCCAGCTCCCTAAGATCCCCAGCTGCACTCTGGAGAACCGACAGTCCCTCTCATCCCTCCAGGAGGGACTCCAGGCGCGGACCAGTGTGCCTTCAACATGCCCAAGCGGAGCCGCAAGGGCCCTTCGGCATCCTTAGGATGGTCAGACTTGCGCTATTCTCTTTTCAAATAGGAAAGCCCGTCCTCCCGCCCGCCAAAAATCATGCTTTCTCCCTAAGCATTCGGGTCCATCTTCCCGTCAAAACAAGAGGCAATCATCTCTTGGCTACTCAACCAAACTGTCGCACCAGTTCAAAGTCTGCTGTCATTCAGTACCTTTCACAACCCGACAAGACTCAGATGTGAGGAGAGAGAGGCCCGGCGAACATTCTGGGCTACGGTTCCTGCACGGTGGAATTGGAGGCTAGGTTCTCTGCTCCGCACATAGCCTCCTCTAGCAAGCACCCAACTTGTGCCTCTAGGTCCTGCAAGTGCATCCATTGGCATCTGCGCCTTCCCACTGATGTTGTAAGCGCCAGCTACCAAGCGGACTAGCCGCCTGATCAAATCCACCTGCAGCCAGCCGCCACAGCTCAGTGAGGACCCAAAGGAGCGTGCAAGCATGCAGACCCGCAAGCACTCTTTCCTCTTATCCCTAGACCTAAACTTGACCAACTCCCGTATCTATTTCTTGGCTCCAGCCGCAGGGCTGAGTCTCCCTGGGTTCTAGCTGGTAGCGGTAATGACCACAGCTCCCGGCAGCACCCAGGCAGGAACTTTACAAGGTGAAAAGTTTCCCCCACGCTTTCTGATGGCTCTAGCTTGCCGGAACCCCATTACAGCTTCTGTGTAACCTGGTAGCTGGGGCTGTTCTGAGAAAGGTGCGCTCTAGCCGGTGCACCCTGCAGCCAAATAAGCACGCTAAAAATCCTCACGCACCCTTGCCTCTGCCGGCGATACTCCCCTGCACCAGACGCGTCCTCCGTGGTCTTCCTCTCCGGCCTAGGGCGAGCCGGCCACCCCGCCGCCTCCGCCGCAGTGCTCGCCGCGTGCTCCCGGCTGAAGCTGGTGAGGCGAGCGGAGGCGCTCGGCGCTTGGCGCTCAGGACGCCGCCACCGCTGCGGGTTGGCGGGCGGAGGAGGGGAGTCGGAGGAGGATGGCGGCGGGAGGAGGGGGACCGGGAGAGAGGTCCCAATGCTCAGCCCAGATCACAGCGCAGCCTGCCGGGAGGAGCGGTTCTCGCGTCTGCTCTCGGCAGCCTGCACCGCTACAGCTAGTCGAGGAGCTGCTTCGGGTTCCCCATCGCTGCCGCCGCCGCACTGCCAAGACCCCAGCTTCGCTGTCTCCTCCTCCCTCCCCGCAGAGCTGCGTCCTCGTGGGGGACGACCAGTGATCTCCGAGCGCCACGCGGAGACGAGAGGCGCGGGAGGGGGCCGGGGAGACGCGGCGGCCGGCAGCAGGACGCTCTGGGCGCCTCGCCTGGAAGCTGGACTAATTTTAGAGCCCAGGCTTCCTCCACCCCTAGCTGGGCTGGAAGGACGCACCAAAGTGCGGTGCAGAGGCAGTAGCCGGGAGAGCTCCCTGCCGTTTTCAGAGCGCGCGCGCGCACGCACCACATTCAATCTGCCGGGCGCTGCATCCCGCTGCCTAGAGTGCCCTAGACTTCTCCCGAACAGAAGAGGAAACGGAGGCAAGATGAGGCCAAGATGGCTTACCCAAGCTCCTCAGGGTAGTTGGAAGTGCAGTGGGCCAAACTACCAAACGTTGTACCTCCTGCTGCCTACACTGGACTAGCGTTGCTTCCCCCACGTATTTCAGATCCTCCGGAACACCTTTGTGTGAGAGGGAATCGGACTAAAGAGTAACATGACTCATCACCCCCACCCCATCTGAAACACTGTGGGATGGGAAGACATTCCGAATGGGGATGAGTGAGTGATCTCTGAGGAACTAGGTGATTTGCGGTGCCAATTGGTGGCCCTCTATTTGCTATAACTTCTGTATCATCCTCACTAGTGTAAGGATTTCTGGAAACTGCCGCCCCCACGCCCATTCCACTATCCACTACTGCAGTAGCGCTTGCACTACAGCCTTTGCTCCCAGCCTGCGAGCGAAAGAGCTCAACCTAACTGGCCAGCGCCCCGGTGCCCGCCTACCGCCTGCCCCCACTCGTCTAAAGCAGGCGCTCACTCCAAGGAGGTGCCTGAAGTGCCCTGTCCCAGGTAGCTTCTCCAGGACTCTGTTACTGATCACTAACATCAACAGAGGTGCAGCAGGCCTACAGATCTGCTGTGTAGAGAAAATCGCTCTTTATTTTTGACCCCTCAATTTCTCTTTGGGGAGTAAGGTCTGTGGCAGCTAAAAGTCTTTGTGCTCAGTCATGCCCTTTGAAGAGCTCATAGAATTTACCTTCCTGGTCTTCAGCTCCCAAGCCTGGGGCCTTAGAGCTCTAAAAAGCCCTCCACTCTTAGTAGGTGGGAAGTTCCCCTTGAAAGCCTTCTGCGGCCTTCTGCACTGCCTTGACTGCCCCATAAAGCACTCTGCATGCTCCGGTTGCTTGCCTTGAGCGGTTAATGGAAATACTAAGAAATACTGACAGCTCCCCATACATCAACTAATTCCAGGCCAGAAGCATGATGGTGTCCAGGGCTTCACTGTTACAAAGGCCAGAAGAAAACTTGCCTGCTCTCCAAAATGTTGTCATTTGCATAATTTTATTCTGATTTTATTTTTTATTCAGGCACTTTCTTAGCATTAAAAGTTTATTGCCATATAAATATGCTCCCGATATGGCGTATTCCTTGTGACTGACCCAAGGCAGCTAACTTTGCATCAAAGGTTTTAATGAATCACGCATTTCCCATTCCAGTGCTTCTGTGGAAGGACTAGGAGAGCTGCTGCCTGAAGCCAGCACTTCGGGTAGAGTCAGGGGTCGCTGGTTGGCTCCTGGGGTGCTCAGGGAAGTGATGTCGACAGCAGGAGAGGCCATCTTCCACCTCCTTCCTGGGAAGCTGGCCAGGTAACTGGAGGAGCATTGATGCTATGGGAGTCCAGCCCCTCCAAAGGCTCTCTCATGCCTCAGAGGCACTTTGCCTATAAGTGCAGAAATCTGTCTAACTCTGCCTCCTGCCCTTAGGCAGTGTGTAGGTAGTAAAGGAAACAGTCTCTACTCCCAGAGCAGAAATGGGCCATGACAACCTGTGGGCAAAGGACTCTCTGCAAGGGGGTGGAGTAATTTATTCAGTGGGACACTCTCTGGTCAGTTTAGATTTGGGGGAGCAAGTAATGCTTGCTGATATCAGAAAAACATCTATTTTTTCTTAACATAACCTACTATGTACCTGTGGTATTGAGGTCACATCATTGATAAAACTATGAACTTAATGAATGAACCAAAGGCATTTATAACACTTAAGTTTCCATGCACGGCACCTAGTCCAAATCCTAGTGGAGTGGATACGTGTATTAATGTCGAAGAATAAATGAGTGCAGACAGCATGAGAGTTCTCTGTTAGACTGGATAACAACACAGAAAAGAGCCCTAAGCTGAAAAATCAGGACTATGTAATTATATAAGTTGCTCTACACACCTCCCAAGTCCAATCCAGATCCTCTGGGCCTTATTCTCCCCCTAGGTCCCCGAGCAAACAACTTGCTCTTCTGGATTGCTGCAAGCTGCACTGATAGTGTGGTGCCCTGGGCCTCTCTTGTAGCTCACCTCCAACCCAGGGGTCTCTTGAAGTGTTTGATGTAAATGGAAACCTAGATGTGTAGGAGATTAAACACTGAGAAATCTTTAGTGAACAAGACATGGGTATATTTGGAAATTTGCATGACTCTCTGCCACAGATGGAGGAGGCAAATGTGTTCTAAACAGCTTCTGGGGTGGTCTTGCTGCATGAAACAGTGGTCAGCTTCTTCCCTCTGGCTCGGGCCCTCTGACCCTCCTGTGCTCCTGGGATCACACTCACACCCCTCCCCGCAAAGTTTTTCCAGTGAAAATTTTTAAGGTTTATTTTTATTATTTTTATTTTCACATACCTATACACAGGTGATTATATGCCACAGGACTTCATATCCTTTGGAGATGGAGGCAATTGGTGAGCTGCCTGACATGACATGGGAGCTGGGAACTGAGCGAGGTCCTCTGGAAGCATGTGACTTGAAGCACCAAGCTATCTCTTACTCGCTGTAGCCCTAGCCATCTCTCCAGCGTCTGCAGTAAGTGTGATGTCACACTCTGCTTTCTGGCAGTCCCAAGCTAATACACCAATCACCATTCCTTCTTATTTTTCCTCTTTCTTTTTTATTTATGTGTCTTTTACATTATGTGTCTTGATCCCATCCATTTCTCTGTCCCTTTGGAACAGCCCTCCACTCCTGCACACACACACACACACACACACACACACACACACACACACACACACACACACACACACGCACACACTCCAAAAAAAATTAAGAGAAGAAAGAGAAGAGAAAGGGGGATTAAAAATTTCATCATGGAAGCTGCAGTGTGACACAGTGAGTCACGTGGTAAACCCCTTTGTCCGTGTCCTCTCGTCATTCCTAGTCATCGTTTACTCTAAGCAACTGCCAAATTATGATTCAATATCTTTTAAGGATAATATATGAATATATACAGAATGATCACACACAGGAATACATATTGACCAACTTTTTATGTACTTATAAGACTTCTTTCAGTGATCAGTTCTGTTTGTCACGTTCTACCCAGACCTGTTCATCTCATTGAGTTTGTCTCTGTGTTCAGGAAGATTTTACTTGTATGTCATATGAGGTAATACCTATCTTATTGCTAACCCTGTAAACATTGAATTTAAGAGATATTTTGATGACCAAATGGGCTATTTAGGGAGGTGGGAGAATGTCCTTTCCTCGAAGTATTAAATCAAGCCCACGACTCTAGCCAGCATTATTTGGGGGACCAGATAAAATCATGCTTTGTTGTGTGTTTCGGCTTAAGTGCGAAGCATCCCCACATGTTCATTTGCTGCTTCTGGTGTTGATTTGGGAGGTAGTAGAACTGTTAGCAGTTGAAGCCTCACTGGAGGAAGTAGGTCACTGATGATTTAAGGAATTGCAGTAGGTGGTAAGTCCAAAACACAGACTGACTTCTTTCCAAATTTTCCACCAATCCTGGTACTACATGTTACAAATACATCAAGATGGGTGCATCACATTCTTCTTTTGTGCACATCCTTCTTTGACCCTTAACCATTTTTTTGCAAAATTTTAATTTTTGACAGTTTTACACATGTATGTAACACACTGTGAAAATATTCACACTTTTATCTCCCTCCCAACACTTCAGGCCCCCTTCTCATTCCCAGTTAATCCCATCTTAATTTCACACCTTACTTTTTGTGTACTAGTCCTTTGCAGGTAGTCATAGCTGTTGTTTAGGATTACATTGACCACATCATACATAGAAGACAGCGCTTCCCAGCACTCCTTCCCATTGTCTAGCTCTTCTAATCTATCGGTTCATTTTTCTGTGATATTCCCTGGGTCTCGTTGGGGATGATATACATGTTGATTTTTAAGACCCGCATTTAGTAGTCACTTTAGTCTCTTAAAGTTGATGCAACCCAGTCTTTATTTTCAAAGAGCATCCAAACCAGACTTGGGTATACCTAACTACTTGGATTTCCTCAAAAGAATTTCTTACCATCTGACTTTATTTTATTTTGTATCCATCTTGGGTTACAACTCTTCCTTTACTTTGGCGAATAGGTTAATCAATGTAATAGAAGCCATTTTGTGGTAATATATTGTGTCCCCCAATATATTGTGTACCCTACATAATAAAACTTATCTGGGGTCAGAGAACAGAACAGCCGCTAGATTAGACATAGAGGCCAGAAAATGGTGGCACACTCACCTTTAATCCTATCACTTGGGAGGCAGAGATCCATCCAGTTCTCTGTGAGTTCAAGGCCACACTGGGAACAGAGTCAGGCATGGTGGCACACACCTTTAATCCCAGCACTTGAGATCTCATGTCTTGCTTGGGAAAGACACATGCCTTGAATCCCACGAAGTGATGGCAGGAAGCAGAAAGGTAGATAAGGCGTGAGGACCAGGAACTAGAAGCTTTTTAGCAGCAGTTCAGCTGAGAACCATTCGGGTGAGGACTCAGAGGCTCTCATTCTGAGGATTTGTGAAAACAGGATCAGCTGAGGAGTTGGCAAGGTGAAGTTGGCTGTGGCTTGTTCGGTTTCTCTGATCTTTCAACATTCATCCCAATATCTGTCTCTGTTGCTTATTTTTTTTATTAATAAGACCTTTTAAAATTCATGTTACAACATTTTATCTTATACAATTCTGTATCTCTTAGGCATTCCTCTTTCCCTTTCATTCATTTTTGTTCATAAATCTGTCTAGCAAACATTATTCTTGAGCAACTATGCACTTGGCTCTGAGAAGCACTGGGGAGATAATGAGTTATCTATCCTCGTGGGTCTTAGGTGGATTTAGAACTCACCATTTATCAGAAGATGTTTTAAAAATAATGTAGCAGTGACAGGGGATGTGGGTTGAATGATTTGGACTGGTTAGTTACGTGACTACTACTACCCTAGTGAAGAGGGTTCTTCATTCCACCCCATTTTATTCATAAGTTAAATCCAACATTACCCGTGGCTGATGATAATATGAGATAATTAGGGGTACACTTAGTCCATTCTAAGTCTATAATACTGAAAGGGCAAACGTTCTCTCTTACCAAAGTATGAACACCTCCAGAACCCTACTTCATTAGGTAACATGTTTTTATATATTCTCCTGGCCTCTCATTGAACTTGTTTTTCCTCAAACATTTTGAGGATTTTTTTCTTTCAAAATTATTATCTTAAAACATTTTTTGTAAATTAATGTTTTTGTTTTTGTTTTTTTTTGTTTTACTATTTGTCTCTACCTTTCAGTACAGTGAATACAATATGAATGGAGTATGCTCATGTGAACTAGTTTACTAAGGCCACATTTGTAGTATTCCTCTACAAAGAAGAATTCTGAGCTTAAGATAACCTGTATGGACTTTGGATGCAACTTGCTCCTTTGCCAATCAAAGGGAAAATTGCCAAGCAACTTAAAAATGAGGTAACCATTTTCCTACAATCTTAGAAAAGAAATTAGGTCTATTCTGTCTTTCCAGCGGCCCACCTCACAGCTATGCTCCCTTCAGTGTCTATTTACTTCCCTGCTGCAACTACTAAGAAAATATCCGAGGTGCAGATAAAAACATGTCTACTTGTTAAAAGGAGGAGCTACATTATTTTCTTCATCATTTACTGTTAACCAAAGTTAAAAAGAAATACATCTGAAACAAGGGCCCTCAAAACCAAAGAGAATGAAAAAGCATTTCCACAATGTTGGTGAAAAAAAGAAAAAAGAAAATTTAAATTAGACTAGTTAACTTTCTTTTCCATTCTTTTCTTTTTCTTTTTCTTTTCTGCTTTTAGAGACAGGGTCTCACTATGCACCAGCCTTGTCTGGCTTGGAGCTTGCTGTACAACCAGGTTGGCCTCAAACTCACAACGATCTGCTGCCAGCCTTGACTCTCAGCTGCTGGGATTATGAGCCACCACGTACATCAGATGAATTGGTTTTGGGTTTATTTCATTGAGTCAGCAAGGTATTATTAAGTATAAATATCATCATATTGCCAGAAATAATATTTTAATGCCACTTTCATTTTTAATTCATGAAAATGGCCATTTGCCCTGACTTGAGGAGTAGTTTTGGCTAAATAAATTAGAATCCATTTCATTTTACCAGCCCAAATGTTAGCCATGCATGTCAACGTGAATTTTCAAAGTAAACTGCATCAAGGTATTTGCATATGGAGACTGTCTCTGTGGACAAGTGTCTGAATACCTATGGCACTGTTGCCAAAAAAGAGGTCACAGCACCTTCTATTTCTTCTAGTAACCAAATGAGATGGGTTTTTGTTGGTAACGTTGCAGAAATTCCATGTTCAAGGAGTTGCTAATAGGATTTAGATTTGTTTTATGTTGTTTTCACTTACACTCTGAGGCTTCCTGCATCAATCCAGGCAATCAAGACACCATAACAGACATGTCCACAGGCCAACATGATCTGGAGACAATCCCTCCCTGGCACTCTTTTCTAGCTGATTCTAGATTGTGTTAAGCTGACATTATCACAGGGCTCCAGCCTGAAATTGGCATTCCCTGAATCTTGGTGATTCTAACAGTTGTTAAAATTTGAGGACTTCTGACCAGGGTTCTGTTCCTCATAACACACACACACACACACACACACACACACACACACACACACACCCCATACCCATATACACAGTAACCCACACAATATACTACACCACCAATATGCACAGTTTCACCACACTCTACACACACTACACATATATATACATAATACCAAGCACACACATCACACATACACCACACATATACACATTTATCTCACACACATACCATGCACACATGTATACCATGTATATGTAGTCATATAGTACCTACACAATAATACACAAATTATACACAAGTACATATCACACACTCCACACATACACACACCACACACACACACACACACACACACACACACACACACACACACACACACACACACACGAGTGCTCACAAGTTAACCACAAGCCCTGTTCTGAAGTTCTTACGGTGTAACACTATATTTTTTCTTTTTTAACACAGCATTAAATTTGTAAGGAGAAAGTACTCAGCCTGACTCATCTGACAAAAATCCAAATTCTCCAGGTTGCTTTTTTATGGGGGTTGTGGTTGAGCCGGAATCACCAGGTAATTGCTTCTATTAGCCAACACCTTTTGCTTAGGTAGGCACAGCTGGAGGTAAACTGCCCACAGTATCCTAAAGCTGTACAGCCCCATCCCTCCAGTTCCAGCTAAGTAGAGACCTGCTGAGGAAGAGAAATCAGACACTTGGCCCCTTTCTTCTTCCCCTGGTGTATGGGGTTTTTATGCTACAGTGTGGCTCCTAAATGATAAAGGAAAGGCTTTCTGATCTGTGTCAAGTGCCTTCAGAGAACAGGGGGTATCTGCCTCCTGTGGGACTCCTAGAGGGAAATGGATTACGAGGACAAACTGCTGCCTGGCACCTCAACAACCCTGGTTTTCCTGGTGTGTGTTTGCATGGGTGTGAGCAGAAATGTAAGTTTATGCATCTTTTGAAAAATGTCGTGTTATTTCTGAAATCTGGAAATAGGAATCTGAAGGCAAATGATTACACAAAATCTTTTCTGACACTAAGAAATAGTCAAATTTTTTAGAAGGATTAAGCACTCTGGAAAATGAATGCTGTTTCAGGAGTTGCATAAGAAGTGTTTCCATTCTTTTCAAATTGCACATAAAATCAATAACATATTTTAGCCATTTTTCAAGTGTTACTCTCCATGAAATATTTGAACTCTTGGTGCCAATATCTTTTTATTTGCCTTTAAGATGAAATTGACTGGGTTGATAAAGCCTTCTATCTCAGAGTTGGAAGGCTCAGGGGAAGAAATGTCTGTAGAAATTTTCATTTCTCAGTACATATTTCTGATCTTGTTTCGAAGTGACAGGAGTGACTTTACCAGGTGTTGAAGGGACACTCTTGGAAGCTGGTAGGGAGGCCAGAGTTGGGTGGACGTCTGCAAATCTGTCAAGTGCCCTCCAGGTCCTGAAGGAAGAACACCGTGCTCCCAATAGTCTTCAGATCCAATGCTAACAAACAGTATTTGAAGATTGTGCTGTAATTTCTAGTCAGAGTTCTAAGACGGGAGTGAGAGTTCCGGAAACATTCTCAGTGAACACGTGCATTTCAGCTTGTTGTGATAGGATGTTAGAGAGCTATAGAAAATTAAGAAAGCTTGCACTTTGGTTTTGTGGTGTGTGTGTGTGTGTGTGTGTGTGTGTGTGTGTGTGTGTCTACTTTCTTGTGTAGGTGTGACCAAGTGTGTGATTGTGCATATGGAGGCCAGAGCTTGGCATCAGGTATATTTGATTGCTATCTATTTTTATTTTTTGAGACACAGTCTCTGATAAACCTGAAGGTCTTGGATTTGACTAGGCTGGCTGGCCAATGAGTTTCATGGATCTCAGCTCTTCTCCCTGAAGCACTGGGTTACAGGTGTGCCACGGCATTTGGCATTCTGCATGGGTGCTGAGGATCTCAACCCAGGTCCTCATGCTTGCATGTCAGATTCTTTATGGGCTAAATCATCTCCACAGACTCATGAATTTTTAATTACTATGAATTTGGACGTTATGATAGTTTCAAAGGCTATATTAATAATAGGGGACTAATCTTGTCAATAAGAGCACAGCAAGAGAAGCCTGCTCTTTTTCATCTAGTGAGCAATTGTGCAATGGCAGATGCATTATACAGACACTCCTGAGTGTTACTGTGTTTTGGAAGTGGAGGAACTGGAGGTTGATTTAACACATAGCTCCTGCTCCGAGGAGTAGTTGCATCTACTTGTCTTCACTGCACTCCAGAAGACAGATGTCACTCAGTGCCATCCTTGCCCTTACGTTGATGCCCAAGTGGCTATCCACTTCAGAGCATCTTTGTCATGCTCAACCTGCTTTTGTTCCAAAGTAAAGGCAAACATCTTTCTAAGTGAATAATCACTTGAAAATTGCTTCCAGAGTGCCAGTAGGATCTTGAATCTGCCTGTTTCACATGCTGGGACCTCACTCTGGTTCCTGAACAGTCTCTGGGGGACTGTTCCAAATATTTCCTCTTGAAGCAACTGGAATCCTCTGAGAAATAGGAACAGCTGCTGATAGGAGATTGCTGTGCACAAATCATCCTCCTGCCCTAAAAGGATTAGGAATGACTCTTCTGAGAATGGACTCAGGCAGCTCTTTGTTTATTTATTGCAGTGGTAGATGTCAGTGAAGCCAGAAAGCATCTCTCTGACCTCCCCACAACACGGCACATGTTGCATAGACAAATGGCATTTTCTTTGCAATTGGTTAATTTGGAAAGAACCACAGTGCTCTCTCTGTCTGAAGGAAGACTTCTGTCCCAAGAAGGCTGCCCTCATGGTTTCTAATGAACATTAACTAGATGATTTTTTAATAAGCCTTCCAAATTTATTGCTTTTCAAAGTATCAGTCCCTAGCCTGGCTTGTTGTTTTGGGCCCTGTTCTTTCATGACCCTGTTGAAGGCACAGATAAAAATCTACTAGTAATAACCATGCAGTTCGTAGCCACCACCAAAACACCCATCACTGTCCAGCGGAGCCTTTTGAAGTGTTGCCTGGGATCTCTCAACCTCAGTTCATCCAGGCGGGGGCCTTGGATTCGGGTCATCATTGTCAGTTTCTGCTCTGCAGCAAACAAACAAGGCCTACCCAACGGAAAGGATACGGAATGAGGAGATGAAAAAGAAGAGGCAGTTTACAGTACCAAGAAATGAGTGGCGGGGACTGAAGAAATGGGTCAGCCATCATCTTCTAGAGGTTCTGGGTTAGACTCCCACAGCCAGGTACAGTGGACCTGTAGTTCCAGGTCCAGGGGATCCTATGTCATTCTGGTCTTTGCAGGTACCTGCACACATATGTGGCATGTGCACACACACACACACACACACACACACACACACACACACACACATTTACAAATCTCAAGAAAAAGAAAGAATGGTAGTTCTTTAATTTGCTAAAACAATAACTTCACATATTTGTGTACACAGATATATATGGAATGTATTATATCTAGCTAGTATACCCTAACCAGTTAGTTGCATTAAGCATACTGTTAGTAATTCTTTTTCTACATTAAAAATAACTTTTATTTTATATACTTTTATGTATTTATGTACGTATTTATTTATGCCTAGGTATATGTCTATTTACCACTTACATGCCTGGTGTTCTCAAAGGCCAGAAGAGGGTATTACATCACCCAAACTTGGAGTTAGAAATGGTTGTAAGCGGCTATCTGGGTGCTAGAAATCAAACCCAGATCCTCTGGAAGAGTAGCAAGCATTTTTTTTTTTTTTTCTTTTTTCGAGACAGGGTTTCTCTGTGTAGCTTTGCGCCGTTCCTGGAGCTCGCTCTGTAGACCAGGCTGGCCTCGAACTCACAAAGATCCGCCTGCCTCTGCCTCCCGAGTGCTGGGATTAAAGGCGTGCGCCACCACCGCCCGGCGTAGCAAGCATTTTTAACAGCTGGATCTCTCCACTCCCAGCCAGCAATTCTTGCATACTGGATATAGTATTTGGAATGGTGGCTACTCAAAGTCGATTTTTGTCATGACCGGTGGCTGCTCTTGGTGTGTTTGCACTCTAATAAGGGAGCCAAGTGTTACATGACTAATAAACACTGTTGATTGCAAGATGCATCATGGGAAGGTCTAGAAACTAGAACAAGCAACAGGAAACTGTTTGCTGCTGAGGGAGCAAAGCTTGACTGGAAAGGAGCAATGTAGCATATGTTGGGGTCATGCGACAGGAAGAATAAGCTGATGATTTTCTGTGATACACAAAGGAAAATATATAGGGGGTGAAATATACAGGTTGTATTCAAGGGTCAGTGAGAGTCATGGACCAGGGCTTCCCTGTGATGGCATTAAATGTAAATAGTAATGAGAAGGCTGGAGTTTATAGGACAGTCTGAATGTCTTACGGAAGCCGAGAGACATCAAGGCCCTCCAGCTGAGAAGTGACAGGATGAGACTAGGAATTCGAGAACTGAAGGCAGTAACAGGGAAGCTGAAATGCAAAGGGAAGACTTA